AGGAGCGCTTGTTTCCTGGGTAGGTGTTAGGGATGTTAGGCGTGTGTGTGGGGGAGCGTTTGCTGGGGGACGATGAGAAGAGGGAAGGGGAGGGTGGAATTACCAAATCCTGCGCCACCTGTTATACCTGAGCCGTGTTTTTCGTGGGGGTTATGGTATGGGGTGTGAGAGTCTACGAGACCGAGACGTGTGGTGCTGTGTTGGTCTTGGAGGTCTTCTGCGGTGTAGTCTGGGGCTGTGCGGTTTCCATAGCCTGCCATGTTTGCTTGCGATTATGTGATAACTTTGAGCGTTTGGGTTTATGTTCAGGTTGATATCACTCGATATCGGAAAGTATGGACGGTAGGTAGTAGATAGTGTTATGTTACCACGAATACGCGGAGATCCATCGTGGACTATATATCGTTCATGCACCCTTCCTTTACTATCTGCCGTGTGCTAGCCCCAGCATAATTGGCATGTGCTAAGAGGTCAAAAAGCCTTATGAGGTCACCTTGCTGGGGGAGGCGTAGATCATGCGATCAGAAGCTCTATAAGAGGGTGGAAGACCCGGCCAAGGTGTGCTTGGTATTCCTTGTAGTACGCTAAGTTCCGCTTATGTGGGTCGGAGGAGATAATGGCTAAACTGAATCCTACGTGCAGCTGTCGATGCTATGCGAGTTTACGATACCGGGGTTGCTTTTGATAGGCCCTTGAATACTTTTGGGTCGAACGAGCCGTCGGGTTCAACTTCACGATGGTTCCTTTTTCGCGCCTTGAATGCGTGATCAGGACTTGTAGGTCGGCACTCATTGGATCGATTTGTTGTAAAGATTGAGGCCAGAGATAAAGCTGACATCCCGAAATGGTGGTCGTCGCCGCTGATCCATGATAGCGATAAGAGTCCCGCTAGGTGCTGTTCCGCCACTGGCTACTCCATGCCCGCCAAGATCTGGGGTATCCCACACTCCCTAAAGCCCATCTGAAAGATCCAGAACCTGTACGCCAAGGTGTCTAACGCCAGCAGTGCAATGCATGATAATCGAGAATCGGAAAGGACGAATAGCTGAAGGTGATGATCTCATCGGATATATTTAGACTGTCGCGTGGTGTTAGAAGTATACTGGAGCAATGAAGGGGCACATACCATGAATTTCTTGTGGAAGTCGGACCGCAGCATGTCGTTGATGAATTCCTTCTTCTTGTTCCTGTCTTCGGTACCGCGTGCTTGGTTCTTGAATACGACATCGTCGTCCCATCGTCGCTTCATGGTGAAGTCTTTCGCGTTGAGCAAGGGGTTGCCTCGGGCGACATCGATTTCGCGTTGTTGCTCCTCTTCTGCGGCGCGTTCTGCCTCCTCTTTGGCTTTGGCTGCGGCGCGCTCCTTCTTGATCTTCTCTAGCTCGCGCATGAGGGCCGCGGTTTCATCCTCTTCGTCTTCGTCGCTGGAATGTCGTTAGTGAACGGATTGATTGAAAATAAATGGTCGCACTTACTCGTCGTCGCTGCTCTCGCTCTCACTACTGCTGTCATCGGCGTCCACGTCTCGGAACTTTTCCAAGACTTCTATTCGCCGCCGTTTTTGAGCTGCTTCATCCTCCTCCCCCTCTTCGGCTGCCGGTACAGCGTCGATCTGACGTTTGTGCGCATTGCCAGACTCTGCTGCTGCCTCAGGCTCAGCGTAGGTGCCATTCTTCTTCGCGATGTGACGCGCCTCGGCCTCGAGAAGTTCGGCGCGAAGATCGCGCTGTATATCCGCATCGCCGCCCTGTCCCGGCTGTCTATGCTTGAGTGTCGTGTGCGCTGGGAGTAGTCGCTGGTGGTAGGCGGGTCCTCGCTGAGCTTCTTTGCCGCGCGCGGGATCGAACGTCGGTCTGTGGGCGGTCGTCATTGTGTCGTTTTATTGATATTAAACGGTATTGTGGGTTGGCACGGGTTTCGGAAGTCTTGCGCGTGGTTGACGTGGTGAGTAGGTGATGTGTAGAAGAATTGGTGCACAGAAGCTTGAACTCGTAAATCGCGCTAGAGGGCCGGCGATTACAATTCCCCGCCGCCGCATTTTCTATGGCTGTTACAACGACTATCATTTCACCAACAACCTTACGCATTTGCTGCAGAAGCTCAAGATGCCTCGAGAAGCTGAGATATCGCTAAATGAGCGCGAGTTTATCAAGCAAGCGCTGCAGGAACAGATACGAATCGACCGACGCGCATTCGACGCCTTCCGCCCACTCGAGCTCACATTCGGAGAAGAATATGGTGTCGCAGATGTGCAATTAGGCAAGACAAGGTACATAATTTACTGGGAGGCCATATGCGCAAGCTAACACTTCTCAGGGTGATTGCGCGCATATCAGTAGACGTGACGACACCATTACCAGAGCGCAAGTTTGATGGCATTTTTCAAATAGTCACGGAGTTTTCTCCAATGGCTTCTCCAGCCTTTGAGGTTGGTCGGTATGTTGTTCTAGATACCTACCAGACCTTCGGTATATCTGACTGAAAAATTAGTCCTACAGATGCCGAAGTCATCCTCTCGCGCATCCTCGAGAAAGCCATCCGTCGCTCCAACGCTCTTGACACCGAATCGCTTTGCATCATCGCAGGCTTAAAGTGCTTCGCTCTCCGCGCCGACGTACACATCATCGACCATGACGGCGGGCTGATCGATGCATCGTGCATAGCTGTCATGGCTGCTTTACAACACTTCCGAAGACCAGATGTACAAGTAGAAGGCGAGAAGGCGACCATTCTCAGTGTGCGCGAGCGCGAACCCATACCGTTGTCGATCCTACACCAGCCGCTCTGTGTTACATTTTCATACTTTGAGGGGGAGATATTCTTGGTGGATGCAAACTTGGCTGAAGAGCAAGTCAGGCAGGGAGAAGTCATTCTCACAATGAACAAGCACGGCGAACTGTGCCAGATTGCGAAGTACGGAGGAGCGACAATAAACCCGCTGGCTCTGCTGAATTGCACAAACGTTGCTCTGCAGAAGGTCAAGGAGATGAACGCGTTCATCCAGAAAAGGCTTGACGAAGACGCCAAAGAAAGGGATGCTGGAGGACTAATGGCAGAGCTTAGCGCTGAGAATGCCAGGTGAGACCTCGCACGAGGCAGAATCACCTTACAAAAGACGACACGCCTGGCCAACAAGCCAGTCTGCGATGCTTCCAAATACTCGCATCTTGGGCGCCGCTCAAGTTCGTCCGAGCATTCCATCCAAAAGGAAAGTTTCTAGAACAGGACGCGACGCGAGCCCACTGATGATGTGGGTCGGTGGTCGGCGGCCCCTGGAAACGCTACTGGCAACACCGAAGACCAAATCGCGAGATGCGAATTTAGAAGTAGCATGCGAATGTGGCTATGGATCGATAGTTCATGTCAGGATGATCTATATACAGCCGTGTAAATCAATACATAATGAACTCTACTTGTTTAATTGCATCTCAATCTGCAATCGCGAAGTATGCTCCCATCTTGAAACCCAAAGTTCTAGATTTTGGAGTTCACAAAGCGGTGACGTAGCTGACAAAGCCCGACGCGTCGCGGGACACCTCGGCTCAAGCTCCCTGCATTTCCACGCGACACACCTGGGCACCAACACCTTACTCGAATGATATCTCTCCACACGCTCATTACAAGCGGACAAATTCTCATCCTTCAAGCGGATCGAGACATCTCCAATGATATATAGCTGATATCCTACATCCTGGCTGCTACATTGCAGTTTCAAAGTCGCTTCACTCCAATCTTGAACATTGCGTCATCAAGGGTCTCGCCGCATTACGTCTTCTATCTTAGATACCAAGCATCCGGCGCATCCTCACAACATCTCTTCTCTCCACACTGATTCTCTTCACCCAGACTTCCTACAATCCACAAAGCCCAGCATGTCGTCGAAACTCGTACCTTCCGATCCCGCCAGCGTTATGGTGATTCGCGACGTTGTTCCGCGCGTGATCACCACTCTATCGGTCCCATTCTGGAGGTTTGGTCGCGTGAAGATTGGCGGAAGAGGAACGATTGGTATGTTGTGTCCAAGGAATACTTCACATGCAACTGCTAACGCGCAAGAACAGTGCGCCTCGAATCCGGTTCTCTCGCCGTCTTTTCTCCTGTCGCATTGACCGAGGATGTCAAGCAGAAAGTATCCGAGATGGGCGAAGTAAAATACATCGCCGCCCTAGACGCAGAAGTACGTATCAGCCCACAAGAACACCTGCGACCGTTATTAACACTATGCGTAACAGCACCACATCTTCCTCGGCCCCTGGCACAAAGAATACCCCAACGCGCAAGTCATGGGCCCCGACGTCCTCCCCGAAAAGCGCGCGAAGCAAAACGACGACAACGTCCCCTTCTCGATCCTCTTCAGCGCCGACAAACGCGTCGAGACCATCTCCCCCGAGTTCGACGCAGAGTTCGATTGGGAATACGTCCCCTCGCACGTCAACAAGGAACTTGTTTTCCATCACCGCCCTACCCGCACTCTCATACAGGCTGATCTCATGTTCAACCTGCCTGCTACGGAGCAGTTCAGCAAATCGGGGGTTGACCCGAATAGCGGCATCTTGACGAAGATCTTTGGGGCGCTGCAGAGTACAAAGGGTGATGCGAAGTGGCAACAGAGGACTATTTGGTATGGAACTAGTGCGAGTGACAGGAAGGGTTTCTCGGCTAGTATGGAGAGGATCAACAAGTGGGGGTTCAACAGGATTATCCCTTGCCACGGCGATGTCATGGAGGGAGACGGCAAGGGCATCTTTGAGAAGGTCATGAGGTGGCATTTGGATGCTGCCGCGCAGGGAAAGAAGAGCACTTGAATGTGTTGACAGATATGATGGGGGCGTTTGGGGTGGTGCAAAAGCGAGGTGTGTACATTGAAGAAAAGCGCGGAGTTGAGGCGGGTGGACGATGATACCAGTGGATGAGGGGTTGCTCTTTCTTCATATGTACTAACAACATAATTATATCCTTCATCCTTGCCAGCAAGAATACGTCATGAATAATCGTATCGTTTACTTCCTACCCACCCACTCCGCCATCTCAATATCGTCAGCGAAGTTTCGCTTCCTGACATCTCTCCCGTCGTAGCCACCCTTCATTTTCTCCTTCTGACCAGTCCAGATCGACGCAATACCAGCCAAAGTATAAGGGTTCTTATCAAACCTTGCCGCCGGTGCCGGAGGCTGGACCACTACAGGCGGCGTTTGCTGGACCGGATCTTGATACCCACCCGCCGTGTCTCCAGGCTGCTCGAAGAGGATATCCTCACTATACCCTGGATATCCATACGGCGAAGCTTCCAGCTCCCGCTGTTCGTGCGGGTGGTGATGTAGATGCGGGTGCGGTAAATGCAGCTGCGGAACATGAACATTTGGATGCATAACATGATCCACAACCCCCATAACCGTCTCCTTCACCCCATGCGCCTCCCCATTCTTCCCTTCTCCCTCCCTCGCCTTATTCGGATCCTCATATCCCCTCCCTCCCTTCTTCCTCTCCATACCCTTGCGAAACTTGCCGTACCTTACCGCTTTAGACATGTAATACGCAATACCCAGGCCCACGCCTAATAAACCTACAACAGGCGCACATGTCATAAGTAGCCAGGCTACATGCAGCAAGAGGTCATTAAGCCAGAGTTTCTTCTTCAACGTCTTGTATTCTGTGTCTGAGAGATGTGCAACGAACCAGGGGATGTGATACACGAGCGACTTTTCGAGGAGGGCGAGGGTGAGCGTGGTTTGTACCGTGAGGAGGGAGAGGCATGCTACGCGTGACCAGTGGGCTACGAGGGGTTTGTTGATGCCGAGATCCTTGAAGGCTGTCCAGCGTTCTGTGTAGGGTGCGAGGGCGCGCTCGTGGAGGTCTGGAGGTGGGGGTGGTTTCGGTTCTTCTTCTTCCTCGTCCGCTGGCAGGCCTTGCAGCCTTTCTCTCTCTTGGTCTGCGTTCTTTTCTTGTGGCTTTTCGTTCTTGGTGAAGTAGAGGAGGCTTATTGGGGCACGCCACAAAATGAAGAATGGGAGGACGATGGCGAAGAGGACAAGGCTGATGATGATCTGTACGGTGATGGTGAGGGCTTTGATCAGCCGGTCAGGCTGCATGATGGTAGGCGATCGTATTCGGAGGTAGCTGCCAGAGTTCTGGACATATTGGGTGTTGCAAGATGTAGGGATATCTCAGCGAGTAGCATGGGCGCGTGAAGGCTACTTGTGATGAAGTTGGAAAGGAACTTCGTGGAAGACAACTGGTGAAGCAGGAGAGCTGTCTTCACGATGCTGTACCGTGTGACGTGCCCCATCAATACGTTATTCTATACTCTGGTGGTACATATTCCAGACCTAGCCCTTCAAAGACCTTCTTCTCAGCATCTTCGGGCGTACCCTCGACTCCATTGGGCCCTTCCAGCATTACGGCTTCGCCGTTACTTCGACTTCGAATACCACTGCTATCGAACTTCCAGCCTTTGATGGCTTTCGCATACCGCCTCAGATCACGCTGAAAGGTGGTACCGCCACTCCAACCCAGGACTGCGCAACCAACTGATCGCCAAGGCGCAATAATGATGTCGACGCGGCGGTGAATAGCAGGGTTCTTCGCTCTTGGGTTCTCTGCAAGATCCTCCTCACGAGTAGGCCACGCTGGATCCTGCCACACAACGAGTGCTTTGTCAAGCGTATCAAAGCCCGCGCCAGCTCCCTTAGCAGATCGAAGAGGCAGCGCATGTTGACCGCGATTAGTGTTCTTCAAGCTCATCGTAAGAGTGTGAGTAATCCACTCGGATTCCTCCAATGACTCAACAATCTCTCGAACCAAGCCCGCTGTACTCTCAAGCTCCGTGTGCGACACGATCAAGTCCACGTCACCAGAGTCTGTCTTGCCACGTCTGTACCCGCCCACAATCGTGACAGTAATGCCTTCGTCGCGAAGCTTCACAGCGTGTTCGCGAACAACAGCGGCGATTTGCTCAACTTCAGGGCGCGGAATAGAGACCAAGAATTCGTCATAGTACTTGACGCCAATTTGCTGCACTCTGTCCAGGTCGTTCCAGCCAAACTCGATGATATCATCCAATTCAGTCCAGTGGTTGTTGTAATAGAATTGGCGTGCGGTCTTGGCTCCAACGCCCCAGATGTTGTAGAAGGAACGCAAGACTTTCATTGATTCGTCGGCCTCGAAATCTTCGACCGCTTGAATCTTGCCAGTGTTCTTCCACTCTACAAAAAGAACTTCGGTTTTCTCGTCACAACCCGGTAGCTGAGCGATCTCTCGGGGGTGACTAAGTCTGTGCGGATATGCAGCGATAGATGCGATGATAGTTGAGTAAGCACGAACACCTATATCATCGTCGATCAAGGTTCGAGCAGTCCTGATCTTCTTGAGCTGGTCGAGGAAGTCTTCATTGGGTCCGTTACCAGGTGTGAAGCGCTGACATGAGTACTTGACGCCCTTGTTCACCCATTCTGGTGCTGCAGGAATATCACTGTCTTCCCCTTCGTACTCACTGGTCGTTTGCTGCAGTAGATGTGCAGCTTGTGAAGCATACGAGTGACCAACAGGCTGGGAAGAGCGGGTGAAAGCCTTTCCATCGAAGCGATTAGAAGTGTGATTTCCGAATCTTTGCGGCTGATAAGTACTTTTCCTCGTGGTCGTCTTCATGTCTAGTTTCGCGCGATCTAAGATGTCTTGCGCCGGATGTGGTCGTGTTGCCAAGAGAGTCTGGGATGCCGGCGCTACTTTTGTGTGCGCGCCGAATATGTCTTTGATAGACTTCTTATTCAATGATTTAGGTCGCTCAATGACTTTACCCATGTAGACCAAGTTGTCTCCCAATGGAAGTAGATGACCTGCAGTTACACAAGCTTCTACCCAGTCGAACTTGATAACCCAGATAGTATCGTCAGACGAATTCTCGAACAGTAGCGGAGCCTCTGAGCCATTGTCGGATCTCGAAGGGGACGAGAGAGGAACGTGGTGCTGCTCAGTCTCTGAGCCGTTGCCAGCCGCATCCTCAGTGGTAGAGTCTCCCTCGTCCGCAGATGACCGACCTGACGTTTTACCAATCTTTCGCCTCTTGTTGGAGTGATCCTGTGCCTTCACAGGACTAGCCGGCCGTTTAGGGGTGACAATTTCCTGAACAACCAGCTTTCGAGCCCTCAATTCGAACTCGGCCCTTCTCTTTGTACCCACCTTCCCAACAAAGACCTTTGCCCTGGAGACATCGGTAGTAAGCGGTGCGTCGTACTGGCGCAACGTTTCCTTGAGCAGCTTCACTTCCTCGTCCTTCAGATGCGCAGTGAAAATTGCAATTGGCGGGAGTCTGCTGAGGTCGAGGGCCTGTGCGGATATCGTGGATGTTGGTGATAGCGATCCTGGGCGTATTGTCTGGGAAGAGTGTTCGTGATCGTCCATATCGGGGTATTTTGTGCTGAACCGATTCCTCCAAGCAGGGGTTGTCAAGACGTGTCCAAGAGACGCGTTCTGTGCCTTCGGCTGTCTAGTTGAGATGTCCAGCTGATCATTGTTTGAATAGCCAAGATAAGCGCGATGTTATGTGATGTCTAGGTAACTGTCCAAGTGAGTATACAGTCTTCCCAACGCCGCGCGACGGTGATGACGTCCGCGTGATGTGGAGGCTGGGAGTGTTTGCTCTGTTTGCCTTCGATCGCTCTTGCAAGCCCGTGCGCAAAGTAGCGCCACGCTAGTGTTAGCGCCCGCGTTTTGACGCGCAATCCATCTGCTACATTCGTTTCATCATGTCCAGCCCAACGTCTTCCAGGCTAAATCTCCGGAATCCTCCAGTTCAACCGCCCGGCGTGCCTGTATCAGACTTGACATCCGCAGACAACTTGGCATGACGGTGGCGTCCCAGGAATCATGCGAGTCGAAACAGCACGCCTAGCCGCAAAGCCGGCGATCGAAACACACTGATCTAGATCTAGAAGTTGGGGAAACATCAGCCGAGTAGTCAAGGCTACAGGCTGGGGGCGCTGATGCACGCCTGGCTCCCCTCAACGGATCTCTGGTTCCTTCCAACTACATCGGGCAGGTCCTTCAGGCGTACTAGGCCCCAGCGTCTCGAAGTTATGCAATGGTTCGATGAATCCGCACCAGCGTATTCAATGCGGTCACAACTGCGCCAACACCACGGGCTAAAGATTGCGCGAACATCCCCTCCCTGCCGTTGATCGTTTCTCTTGGTGCGCGGACCGCTGTTTCGGAATAATTGACAGGCAGACGTAACCTCTGACAGGCCTTCACCTACCGGTTGGTGGATATATAGTGAGCATGTCTGGATAAGCTGCGGGTGATGATGCACTTTGGACGAACCGGTCTTCGTTCGCTACTACCCCGGCCGTTCTTGCAGCGGATATACATGTGGATCGCCACTCATTAACATGCTTTATCTCTTCTTGTTGCACACTTACTCGGGCCTTCGACATTCTTTTCTTCATTCATTTCGCTACTTTTGACAAGAGCGCTGGTCTCTAAGGGTAGCTAGCCTACGCCCATTCAGCTTTGACAGCAACCCATTTCGATCTCACTGAACATCTACACCACCCACCCGACGTTCCTTCGTTTACCTCACCAAAAATGCGCTCCTTCATCATCATGGCCATCGTGGCCCTGTTCGCTTTCGCGTCTGCCATGCCCATATCGCCTTCGGCGCCCCGCCTCCAGAAGCGAGCTGAACAGTATCGCCTTCAAGGACTGCGAGAGGTATGTTGCGCATGTCATCGAATATGAAAAGGATATGATGACTGACTGTCATAGTTTGAAATCGCCGAACGTCTCTCATCTTCCGCATCATCAGAGGTTGACCCATGGCGCATTCGATTAAACCACAAATTCCATGCCCTCTTTGATCCAACACCAACCGACGAAGAAGCCTCTTATGACGACGACCAAGAGGACTTTTCTGGAGACGTAGCACCGGGATCTGTGGAAGCGCCACAAGTCCTCCCCAAGGCTTCAGAGGAAGACAGTCTCTTCGACCGTCTGTGCGCCATGTTCCACCGCGCGGAGAGCAGCTTGGGATACGAAGGCAAGGAGCTTGATGTGCGCCGACCTGGAGGTGTGAGGGACTGGAAGCGATCTTATGGAGGCTTCCGACGATAGAGTGCAATCCAAATTTTCATCACTTCACCCCATGAAATCCTGAACGAGACAACTGGTATATTTCTAACTGAATCCGTGGTGAACCCAAAGCCTATAGCCCACCTACCCAGATGATGTTCGCGCCCGCTGAGTTGAGTAATAATCCAAAACAATGCCGCCAATCCTCAAGCGCCTGACTAGTTACCCAAAAGACGTGTGTATGACTAGACACCCATGGTGAAATCATGTTCTATACCTGGAGTCACACTGTGGGCTGTTAGAAGGTGCTCATTTGTGCAACACGGAGTAAACTTACCTGGCCATGAACTTCAAGAAGACGACAAGATACTGGTCCACGCGGATAGCTACCTCCTCGTCGCCGCCCTCACCGAGAACCTCCCAGTCGTCCTTGCCCTCATCGCCGTCCTTGTTCTTCGCTTGCTCAGTAAGCTTGAGCAGCCGTGTATCATCGACAAGCGCCTCCATACCGCTGTCGAGCTTGCTGACATCCTTGCCGGCTTTAAGCTTAGCGAGTCGCAGCTTCAGAGCAGCGTCGGCGCGGTCAAGGAGGACTTTCATGACGGATGCATGTTTGCACGGATGTACTGAGGCGGTCTTGAGAGGGTTCTCAAAGAAAGGGAAGTCCTCGATGGTGACGGTCTTGTCCTTGTAGTCTCCGACAATGTCCTCCATCATTTCTTGCGGTTTGAGCGGAACGGACGTGGAGCCGTAGCCCGAGAGATACAATCGCGGTGTTCGGTAGTGGGCGGAGTATGTGATGTAGAGGGTGTATGTGCGGAGGGGTCTATTGGGTGTCAGTCAGTCTGTAGAGCGCTGGCAGCAGGCGGGCCAACTCACGCTTTTGTATTTGAGTCGGCCTTGGGGTCTCTTATGATGGCTTCCTCGTCGTCTTCGATATCCTCCATGTCGGGTATCTCGTCATCCTCCTCTGCCGCGCCTAGGTTGCCGCTCTCATCGACCGTCCGCACGTCGCGCACCTTGGCCT